TGTCCAAGAAGGGGAGGATACACAATTCGCTGAGTTGTGCTACATGAGCAATGGGCAAGGAGGTTACAACAAAGGATACTATAATTACAAGTCCAACCCTGCCATGTCATACCGCAACACTGATGTTGCTAACCCTCAGGACCAAGTATATCCTCAACAACAAGCAGCTCGATCGAGTCAGGTGCCACAACATGGGTATGGACAAAAGAACAATTACCAAGGACCACAAGGCACTTTCCCTGGACAACAAATGAATATCCCACCAGGCTTCCCCCACCAACCGCCCCAGCCTGCACCTTCACAAGAGAATGAGCTCAAAGCAATGCTAAAGCAACTACTTCAAGGGCAAGCTGATGGGGTAGTGAACACAAGCAAGAAGCTAGCTGAAATAAACTCTAAGATCGAGAACCTCAACACAAGGGTTTACTCTCTGGAGAATCATGCTTCTTCTGTTGCTGCTGCTACAAAGCAAGGACAACTACCTGGTAAAGCTATTCAGAACCCCAAAGGAACAGTGCAAGGTCATCTTCACTCAAGAAGGACTTGTTGAAGAAGAGGATCAAGAAAGGGTCATTGAAGATTTTTGTTTACTGCTGAATGATGAAGAGATTGTTGCTGCTGGGGCTCCTGGAGTCCAGATTGATCAACTAGAAGTGCAAGCACCTACTGTGGCCATTCACACTTCACCAGTTGAGCTCGCACGACAAGCTCGATCGGCAGCTCGATCGAGTTTAACTCTAGCTCGATCGAGTCCAACATCTTGATGTACTTGCATTTTACATAGTTTTAGCACATCTTTTATGCATCTTTTGCATAGTGATTGCACCATTCATCTTTATTCACCCCTGTTTGCATTCCACCTCATATCATCCTTCATTCATATCATATCACACACAAAATCCTATCATCAATTTGGCGCCGTTGCCGATTTGGGAATATTTTTGTTGCATTTGAGTTTCAAACACACTTGGACGATCAAGCTATACCACCCCTGTTCTATTGTACTGCTGGGTTTTTGTCTCTTTTTGCAGGTGTATGCGAACTCGATCGAGTCGGTCTACTGAGGACTTGGTCGAGCTAGACATTACAACGGGTAGAAAGAGGGTTCAGAGGTCACAGAGGGTACAAGAGGAACCTGAGGTGCTTGTTGCTGATACAATGGATGTACCAAGGGGAATGGAAACCCTTTGGGAATGGACTCGGTCGAGCTAGGCAAACTCGACCGATTGGTCAAGGAGATGCTCCAAACCGCCACCAACAGAGACAAGGGATTGTTCCACCACCAGTGCAGAACCACAACTTTGAGATCAAGCTGGGAATGATCAACCTTGTCCAGAACAAGATGTTCCATGGATTGCCAAGTGAAGACCCCATTGACCACCTTGATGAGTTTGATAGGCTTTGTGATTTGACAAAGATCAATGGTGTCTCTGAAGATGCCATCAAGCTGAGACTCTTTCCTATGTCTCTAGCTGACAAAGCTCACCAATGGGAGAAGAGCTTGCCCCATGGCACAATCACCACTTGGGATGAATGCAAGAAGGCCTTTCTTGCTAAATTTTTCTCCACCGGTCGCACAGCCAAGCTTAGAGGAGAGATATCCAGCTTCATCCAGCGAAACAATGAGACATTCGCAGAGGCTTGGGAGAGGTTCAAAGGGCTACACAAGTCAGTGCCCACACCATGGATTCAACAATGAATCACTACTCTCCACTCTTTATAGAGGATGCTTGCCTAGGTATAGGGAGATGCTAGACACAGCTAGCAATGGGAACTTCCTCAACCAGGATGTAGATGATGGCTGGCAACTTGTGGAGAACATAGCTAACTCAAATGGAAGCTATGGAGAAGAGTATGATCGCACCAACCGGAGCTCGACCCACCACTCGATCGAGTCAGACGAAAAGTTGAGAAAAGATGTTAAGGCATTGAATGAGAAGTTGGATAAGCTGATCCTAGCTCAGTCCACAATGAAGAAAGTCAACTTTGTGTCTGCTGAGGAGATGGAACCAGTCCAAGAAGGGGAGGATACACAATTTGCTGAGGTGTGCTACATGAGCAATGGGCAAGGAGGTTACAACAAAGGATACTATAACTACAAGTCCAACCCTGCCATGTCATACCGCAACACTGATGTTGCTAACCCTCAGGACCAAGTCTATCCTCAACAACAAGCAGCTCGATCGAGTCAAGCCACAACATGGGTATGGTCAAAAGAACAATTACCAAGGACCACAAGGCACTTTCCCTGGACAACAAATGAATATCCCACCAGGCTTCCCCCACCAACCGCCCCAGCCTGCACCTTCACAAGAGAATGAGCTCAAGGCAATGCTAAAGCAACTACTTCAAGGGCAAGCTGATGGGGTAGTGGACACAAGCAAGAAGCTAGCTGAAATAAACTCTAAGATCGAGAACCTCAACACAAGGGTTTACTCTCTGGAGAATCATGCTTCTTCTGTTGCTGCTGCTACAAAGCAAGGACAACTACCTGGTAAAGCTATTCAGAACCCCAAGGAACAGTGCAAGGTCATCTTCACTCAAGAAGGACTTGTTGAAGAAGAGGATCAAGAAAGGGTCATTGAAGATTTTTGTTTACTGCTGAATGATGAAGAGATTGTTGCTGCTGAGGCTCCTGGAGTCCAGATTGATCAACCAGAAGTGCATGCACCTACTGTGGCCATTCACACTTCACCAGTTGAGCTCGCACGACAAGCTCGATCGGCAGCTCGATCGAGTCCAACTCTAGCTCGATCGAGTCCGACCTCTTCTGTCCGACAGCCTGTTTTGCTTGATCCTTATCAACCGGTTGCCGCTTCCTCGTCTCGCCTACTTAGTCAAGGTCACAAGGAAGTGATTCACAAGTTCAGAAGAGATCTCAGTGGGATTGGAATTGAGTTGCCTCCTATGGATAGCATGAGTGAGGCATTTGATCAAATGCAAATGGTCAAGGATGTTCTAGCCAACAGTGATAAAGTTTCAGAGGTCCTACAAGAGTCTACTCATCAGTTCAACCTGCTTACTTCACCCACCTTCCTACCAAAGGTCAAGATCAAGGGAAATTCACTCTCCCTTGCACACTTGGGCATCTTGAGATTGACAATGCCTTAGTGGATTCTGGAGCAAGCATCAATCTGATCTCTCTCTCCATGGCAGAGAAGCTAGGCATTGCTGGAGCCTTGCAGCGCCCTACTACTTCAATCATGTTTGGAGATGCAACTTCTAAGTCTCCTCTTGGAGTGTTCAAGAACTATCACTTGAAAATTGGAGAATGCATCATCCAAACTGATCTCACTGTGATGGAAATGGAAGAAGAGAAGGATTTACCTCTGTTATTGGGAACCCCTTTCCTTAGTACAGTTGGCGCTTCAATAGACTTTCACAAGCAAGAAGTGATCCTTCACAAGGTGAATAGTTTGGTGTCATATCGCTTGCAGCCTAGAGGTTCAGACTTTTGTGCCACAATTGACAGTACCACTCTCAGTTCTAAGAGTCATGGAGCTACAAAGGTTGTGAAGGAAAGGGTTGACAAGGAACCAAGAGTTGGGAAGGATAAGGATGAGAGAGGACCAAGGATTGAGAAGCCACGTCTTGAGAGGGCTAGAGTTGAGAAACCACGTTCTGATAGACCACGAGCTGATAGACTTGTTCAAGCCCCTTGTGTGCTTGATGAAGAAAGCCTTCAAGCTTTGTTTGATGAGCCACTAGGAAGGGCTCTAAAAGAAGGGGAGGATGTAGCCTCTAAGGCAAGACCAGGGATAAAAGAAAAGATCCACCAGCTCAGGCCCCTTCAGTCAAGCCATCTCAGCTCACAATGACTTTGTTCCCCACCAAGTTTGAAAATGGGAAGATTGAGTACAAGATAAGGTACAAGGGGAGATCAAGGCCATTCTCTAGAGCCAAGGCCTTGGTGACTTCAGAACAGTCCAGGGACCCAACCAAGCTAAAGGAGCTTCTGTCTCAAGTCCTCACTATCACCCTTGATGGTGGGACTAGCTCAACCAATGCCTAAGAAGGTAAAGGTCAAGCTATGGGACCTTAAACAAGCTCACTTGGGAGGAAGTCCCATGTTTATCCTTGTACATACTCTATTTATGCAATTTCTATCTATCTTTATGTTTTTAACCTTTGAATAAGTTAAGTTTAGGTGTCAAAGGAGCCAGCTCGACCGATAGCTCGATCGAGCTAGAAACCAGGGCAACTCGATCGAGCTACACAACTCGACCGAGGTAAGTTTTTGAATTTCAAATTCATAACCGTTTTCTTGGTCAAGGGAGTGGGTCCCACAAGCTGATTTTGGTCCCCCACTACCCTAATTTGATCAGAGAATCCCTAGCTTCTTGTTCCCTCTTTATTTCATCTTTTAATCTCAACCACACATCTCAAACACCCCTCTTCCCCATAACTCGATCGAATCCACCTTCTCCACTCTCCCACACTTAAAATTTCTGAAACTCATCTCTCTCTCTCTTCACCACAAGAAAAATCGATTTCAATCTCTCTCTCTTAAGTTTTTGCGATTTCCTTGTTCTTCATCTTGTTTTGCTTGGGTTTTGTTTACTGCTTCAATTCCTCATTCAACAAGGTATGAACCCTAAACCCTTTTCTCTCCATCTCGATTTCATATTGCTTGTTTCTCTTTGATTTTTGATTGCATGTGTCCCTTGTGGACTTGTTCTTGAGTAATTGCCCTCATATTTCGCCTCTGCTATATAATCTTGTTAATTTGTCACCTCACCTCTGTTTTGCCTTTAAACTTGTTGCATGTGCTTGAAAATTGAATTTGAGTTTGGTATTGGTTAAGATGCTTAGTGCTTTCACTAGAATTGCTCATTGTTCCATTTACTAGTTGTTCTTGGTTCAATTTGATTGATTAGCATCCTTTCCAGCTCTTAATACTTGAATTAGGTTTGGTTATACTCTGTTTTCACCCAAGCTCGATCGAGTTTGTCACTCGAGTTTTTTGACTCGATCGAGCTGAGTGTCGAGTTGACCAAACCGATCATTACAACTCTAATTCTTTGTAATCTTTGATGCATTTCAGGTACTTTAGTGAAGAACAGTGTAACAGAGATGACAAACAGTGAGGGAAGTCTTCACAAGGAGATGGTTGAGGGTGAATCAAGCAATGCAAGGGAAAGAAGGCTTAAGATGCAAGCCGATTTGAAGAGGATGGATCAGAGGATGGAAGAATCTGATGCAGAGGGATATGTGTACTCTGAGGAAGAAGTCTGAGAGTGAGAGATTGAGAGGAGAGGAGGACCAAGAAGAGGAATGACCCCATTAGTAGTGAGAGTGAGCAAGGGGAGTTTGAGATTGGAGTGAACCTTGTTCAAGAGGAGGGAAATGGTTCTCCAAATGAAGAAGGAGTGATGAGACTGAGAGTGAAGAGGAAGGAGAAGAGGTGAACCAATTGGTTGATGAAGATGATCAAGAGGGGAACCAAGATGAACCTATGGAGGAGTTGAGCCACAAGAGCAGCAAGAGGAGGAGAAGAACTCCCTATGTACCAAGAGCATTACAATGCCCTCTTCTCCATGGACTTCATGGAGACCAAGTACCCACATGTTGACACAATGAAGGCCCTTGGAATCTTTGAGGATGTGGAGCTTTCTCAAGAACATGCACTTGGCCAAGCTTTTCTCTTATCACATGGAATCCTACAAGGAGCTCACTTGCGAGTTCTTAGCTTCAATGAGGTACCACATGTATGAAGAGGAAGATAGAGCTGATTTGGACCAAGGATTGGGATGGATCACGTTCTTGGCTAAGGGAGAGAAGAGAATGGTGACCTTTAGGCAGCTTGGAATCTTGTTTGGGTTCAACTATGGAGAGGGTACCAAGTGGAACTTCAAGGAAAAGGAACTCCAAAGGGTTTGGGCTACAATCGCTGATGGAGTGTACTCTTCCTCAAGGTCCAAGGCAGCTCAGATCAGGAGCCCAGTCTTGAGGTATGTGCACAAGGCACTTGCCAACACCTTCTTTGCAAGGAAGGCGACCGGGACATCAACGAGGGGGAACTCAAGTTTCTTGACATGGGAATCAAGCCCATTCTCTCACGCACAAGCGATGGCAAGAGGATCAAGGGGAGATAGATCTGACACAGGGAACTTGATGCCTTTCCTTGACCATCTCCTTACCTACAAGATCACAGCTTACAACACTAGACATCAACGAGGGAGGCGTCTAAGTGTTGGAGGGCTCATCACTCCTATCTTGTGTGCTGCTGGAGTGAACCCAACTGATAGGAGAGCCACTGAACCAGGTTGGATGGACATCAAGTTTTGCAAGACCAACCTTCTCATTGAGCACAAGGAGTTGGATGGGAGATTCCAATTCAAGTTCACACATCCATTGGTTGGACCCTCCAAGCTTCTCCTGCCTAACCCAGAGCTCACCACAGTAGTAAGGGGTGAGAACATTGACTTCAGACCCCCTGTGTACACATTAGTTGGGCATGAGGATGATTTGCGAGAAGAGGAGCCTGAGCTCGATCGAGCTGAGTCTCGAGCTGAAGATCAGGGCCAGGAAGAGTGCGGATTTGGGTGAGCTCCAAGAGTTCAACAAATGGCAAGGGAAAGCCATTGAGAAGATGCAAAAGTCCATGGACAAGATGGTGAGCAAGATCAAAAGTTTGGAGAAGAAGGTTTCTGGTTCTTCAAGCAAGAAGAAGAAGTCCAAGGCCCCCACATTCCTTAGGAGTAGATCTCTTCTCACCACTCCAAGGAGGCTCCCTGCCCAAGAGCCTCACAGAGCCTCTTCTTTCGAGCCAAGGGAAGGAGAAGACAACACGCAGAGAAGGAGGAAGACTTCCAAGGCCAGACGCTCCAGCTCGACCACCGGACTCGATCGAGTCCAAACAGAGGAAACTCAACTCGATCGAGCTGAGGGTCGAGTTGACCTGGAGGAGCCCCAGTTCGAGGATCCGGGATTTGAATACGATCCCAGCCTTACCAGGAGCCTCCCCGGAGTAGATGGAACCCCTATGGACAGTACGAGCTACCAATGCTCCACCAAGGCCAAGGAAGCCACACACTTTGAGGAAGAGGAAGAGGAGAGCAAGCTCGATCGAGTGACACAGTTGAGTGGAGTGCTCCTGATGGCCGTCTACCATCTCCAGACCACGACCTAGTCTCCCAGTTCTTTGGGGGACACTGAGGTATCCAAACACCAACCCTTGTATATACCATTTCATATTTTCTTGCATTTGTTCTTGTTTTTTCTTGGTTTTGCCCTCTTGAATCTTTCACTAAATTTTTCTCACACAAGGGACTGTGTGATTTAAGTTTGGGGGAGGGTTCAAGAGATGATTTAACCTTGTTTTCTTTGTTCTTAGTTTTTCATTTATCTTTTGCATAGAAAAACCAAAAAAATCATAAAATTTTCAAAAAATCCAAAAATATTTTCATCTTTTTGCATTCATATTTGTTAGACTTGTTTAGGATTGCATTTTTCACTTGCATTGTTGATTTGACTTTGAAAACTTGTCCATCTTTTGCGATTTCTTGAGTGCCCTGTTTTTAGATTCTTTTGTGCATTAGGGTGAGATTGATTGAGCAGCAAGAACCATGTTTATCTTGATCATATCACTGCATGCACATCTCATTCAACCATTGCTGTGATTTGATGCATTTCCCTATCTATTTGAACCATAACTTGATCTTTAATTACCAATGCTTGCATTTGATTTCAACTCATGGCTACCACATACATATCTGGACATTCTTTACCTTTCATATCCCTTTGCTTGTCCAGATAGCTGATCTCTATCTTTGAGACAGTTACCACACCTTAAACCTAAGCCTTTTCATTTCAAACCCCATTTTATCTCTTGTGCGAATGTGAGAACCTTTCTTGGCTTTGCTTAGCATAAGGTGTTGTGTTTAAACCGGCAGGGGCAGTAGTTCTAGTTGTCTAGTTCTCTTGGGATTGTTTTCAGGCTAAGTTTGGGGGTGCCAACTCGAGCTCGATCGAGTTGGGTGTAAAAACCAGAAAAGTGGTAAAAGTTGGGAAAAACCCAAAGGAAAAAGAGTTTTTAAGTCCAGGGAGTTGGCAGTGTTAAAAAGGGTCTAGTAAAGGTTTGGGAAGTTAAAAAAGGAAGTAAAAAGGGTTCTAAGTAGAATGAAAAGAAGGCAAAGCCTCAAGTGTCCAAAAAGGAAAGAAAAGTTCCCTAAGTGTTTAGAAAATCCCAAACCGCTAGATGTTACCTCAAGAAGCCTCTCCCTAGGAAGTTCTTAAAAGAAAAGTGAGCAAAGCTCCTCAGTTTCAAAGGCGAAATGCCAAAAAGGGTAGTTAGGATTTTGTTCTAAAAAGCTCTAAGTGTTGAACTCGATCGAGTTAGGATTAGGCGGCTCGAGCTGCTGTTCTTGCATCATCTTTGGTTCTAACACTTAGCCTTCTGCCAAAGCAAAGCCACTTTCTTGAGAGATCCCTGTTACTAAACCACCATACAAAAGAGACCCTCTTTGTCTCTTAACCCATAAACCCTTGAAACCAAATGAGTTGATTGATCTTGCATGTTTTTGGTTCACTGTTTTTGCTTAATGAATGTTAAAGGGATTTGCTGATTTGAATGCATTGTTTGAGTGACTGTGAAGTGGGATTGATGTTGATAAGCATGGTTAAATCTTAATGAATATCTCTCACCTTGTTGCATTCTAGAATCTCTAAGTTGGACATTTAGCAAATCGCTTTTGAGGACATGTTTTTAAGTGTTGAATCAGCTTATTTTCAAACCTCATCTCTTTCTTGTTCTATTTGTTTGCTTGAGGGCAAGCAAAGTTCAAGTTTGGGGGTGTTGATGTACTTGCATTTTACATAGTTTTAGCACATCTTTTATGCATCTTTTGCATAGTTTTAGCTTCCATTTGCATCATATCTTGTTCCTTTTCTCTTCTTATGCATTCATGTTAGTTTTAGGTTGCATTTGCATACATATGCATGTTTGGTCCTTTGAAATAGGTCTTTTGGAGCATTCTGGAGCATATGGGACATGAGGAGCATGGAGGGACTTGGCACATGGACGCAGCTCAACTGGATACGCAAAGGAAGAAGGGAGAAGCCATCTTGAAGACCAGCTCGACCGTCTACTCGACCAACCGGTCGAGTTCCTCAACTCGACCGGCCAAGCTTCAACTCGATCGAGCTGAGAAGTCAACAGTCAAACCCGAAAAATGTTGCTTCCCCCTTGACTTTCCTTTGACCCTAAACCTAATCCTCTTGTATTTAAAGGCTCTAAGCCACGAAAAAACCACCAAGCTTTAGATTATTTTGTTTTAGTTTCTTTTAATTTATTGTCTTTTACTTTTTAGAGATCTAATCCCATCTTTGTGTTCTTGAAGCTCTTGCTTCTTGAATCCTAGATCCTGGATAATCTCTTTGTATTTGCACTTGCTTATTTCAATAAAAGTTGTTTAATTTCATCTCCTCTTTCTTATGATGTCTCTTTTATTGCATTTGCTTGTGTTTACATTCATGTGTAGTGAGTAGTTACCCATTGGGGTTTGAGATGGGATAGATTAGAGGTTTCATATGCTTAATCCTTCTAGCTTATGGTCTTAATCTAGATTCTCTCTCTTTTGGATAGATCTTAAGGCTACATGACCACTACCCCTGGCTTGTAAGTCCTTAGGCGACTCCCCACACGAAAGTGATGGCATTCGCTGGAAAAGATCCACTAAGAGCTCCAATATCTCTTGCTCTAGACAATAGAGGTCTAAGGGGTTGGATGGATTAGTTTGGGCAATGATCCTATAGCCTCCAAGGTTTGATTCTCACTGGCTAACCCCCTGTTTCTGAGATCATTCCTTGGTTGATAGCCTCCACCTTGGGAAAGGGTTGGCTAGGCATTGAGAAGCCCAATATCAAGAGAAGCCTTGATACAAGGAGTTTTAAGAGCTAGATTGATTAAGTGTAGATTCCTTTGATTGCAAAACCCTGTCTTGAACCCTAATTCTCTCTTTATCTTGTTAAAGTCGTCACCTTTAGCTTTGTTTGTCTCAACTCGTCCCTAAACTCGATCGAGCTGGTACTTTGCTCTGACTCGACTCGAGCTCTTGGTCGAGCTGACACTTCACTGCTTTGTTTACTTTTATTGCACTGCTTTTCATTTTATTTAGGTTGTTAGTGTTACTTCAAATCTTTAACTGCTTGCTTGACTTCCTGGTTGTTTCATATTCTCAAAGAGTGACAAGTTTCCCATTTTGGATTGATAACCTCTTATACTTCAATGACTATGATGGTTAAGAGGAATTGATTGATTGTGATTGCACCATTTCATCTTTATTCACCCCTGTTTGCATTCCACCTCATATCTTATCATCCTTCATTCATATCATATCACATCCACATAAAATCCTATCATCAATGCTGTGACCAAGATTTTGGGAAACGACAAACCTGGACGAGTAAGGGGCTTTGGTAGAGGGATTTCGGCTACTAAGTTAGCATTTCTGCAATCTAGAGACGCAAAGATGGCAGAAATGAAAAGTGAGATTGAAGAGTTAAAGGGCATTGTCCGAGACTTAGCTGGAAAGAAGGTAATCCATTTCATTACATTTGGTCAATTGGTTTGGTTTGAAGACATTTACGAATTCCTTTTCCTTATTTTAGACAAGTAATGGTGATTCTGAAGCATTTGAGAGTAATGGTGGATTCAAAGAAGGAGTTAGAGTAGAAATATTGGATTGGATTCAATTAGGAGATGTAGTTGTTGGTGAAGGAGAATTCTGTTCTGCTGAACCGATGTACAAAATTGGTCGTATACCAATTTGTCCTAATGCAATGGCTGTCCTTGTTAAGTCTGCACTAAGCTCAGAAGCTTCTCTCTGGAGGCCTACAACAGATGTGTTATATCTTGAGGAAGCTGTGGGATGCAAAATACCTTGGCCAATGGACAAGGTGCTTTTGTATAAGGATCCAGTCGCTTCTGAAAATGTATCCATGGTAAAGTTTTTCAATCTTTCATTGATATTTCTTGTGGTGAAGTGATAGATCTCTAATCTTTAGCTTCTTACATTTTAGCAAAACAAGGAAGGTGAAACTCGAAGATGCAAAATATATGATTGGACTAATGAAGACGATGAGGTTATTGCTGAAGGTGTCGTGTGCTCATCTAACTCCAAAGAGAAGGTTAACAATATACCTCTAGGTCCAAGTGCTGTTTGTATTGAAGTTGTGAAGGTGTTCAATGATAATGCTCATTTGTGGAGGCCAACTACTGATAGTAGTTTAATTGGTGATGCAATTAACGAGAAAATCGCATGGCCAGTCCTAAAGATTGACGTCACGGCTGCAACCACTACAGATGCAACACTACCTAAAGCCCAGGTTATATCATTTTTGCACCTTTGATTGATGTTGGAACTTTCATTGATGTTGAAACTTGCTTCTATTATTTTCTTTGAGTTGTAGAGTCCAGGCAGCAATAGTTCCACCAAAAGTCCAAAGCAGAAGTGTTTTCTTTTAGGTTGCAGCAACTCTGGCCGTAAGGTAGCTGAAGGAAGAGTAGTTTCAACAGATCCGAACGACTCGTGCCATCATGTACCTCTAGGTCCAAATGCAAGCAAGGTCTGGGTTGAAGTGGCTAAGATTGGTAATGCAAAGGTTTGGAGGCCAAATTCAGAGATTGAATACATTTCTGATGCCATAGGTTCAATTGTAGCATGGCCAAATGATAAAATAAAGTTTGTGTGAAATTTAGACAATTGTCGGTATTGCTGAAACGGTTATTGTGTTTTGGTATTGTAATGAAGTTTTATTCTGGTTAATGATAAAACTTGGTATTGTTTGTCTAATTTCTCTCAAATGCTCATAATTATTAATGTTGCTAATTGTTGGAATTTGATTTTGAAAGATGGACATCAATTTAGAGTTTCGAGATTAATTGTGAAATCATGGCTAATTAAACTGGTGCTGAAAATTTGTATTGTTGTGCCTAAACCCTAAACCTCAAACATTGTAGTTAAAACTCTAAACCTCAAATAGAGAGTTAAAACTCTAAACCTCAAACAGAAAATTAAAACTCTAAACCTCAAACAGAAAGTTAAAATTCTAAATCCTTAAGTATAAAACATAAACACTAAAGTAAAAAAAAATATAAACCCCAAAGTTTAAACTCTATACCCTAAACTAAGCCTTAGTGTTTATGAACATATAACTTAGATAGTTGGTATACTAACTTATATTAATTGTTTTTAATTTTAAAATTTTATAATTATAAGAAATAATATTCTAAAATTGAAATAGTTATATTGATAATTTTTTTTTAAAAAAAATTATATTTTTTCATTAATAACATATTTTATATACTAATTTTCTGATTTTAAACGAAAAAGAACTATTAGCCAATGAGAAGTAACCTCCAAGATTGCAATATAGGCGAAATCTACACCGTTGATCTGTCTCGCTAATTTGATCTCATCATTGTTCTAAGCCAATGGTGACTAACCTCCGAGATTGCAAGGTCATTGAACCTAGACCGTTTGATTCGTTTCACTAATTTTGATCCGAGCCGTTCATTTTTGTTATGTGATTTCGCGGTGAAAAAACATATCAAAATTTCAGAACACAACTCATCTTTAGGGTTTACCAAAAATTCCCCCAAATTGATTTGAGTTCAGCAAATCGTTTTAGAACGGATCCATCTCCATCGTTACCAAATGGATAAGACGTGGATTTCGCTGCCAAGGTATACACTAAATTCTATCGAGCTTACTTATATTAATCGATTGAAAGAAATCTAAATTATTTTCCAATTTACAATGTAGGAATAGTATCGAGTACTTAGAAGGAGCAACGAAATTTGCCAATTCATCAGCAAGAAGATTGGGCAATCTGTCTGAAATGGTATGCCCATGTAGAGATTGCCGCAATTTGTGCCATCAGTCTGTAGAGGAAATTGTTGAGCATCTAGTGATAAGGGGTATGGATAAGAAGTATAAGACTTCTTGTTGGAGTATTCATGGTGAAAAAAGAGCATCTACAGAAGACAGTGGTCGTCGACATGAAACAGAGGCATTTGACTTGTTTAAGACAGCATTCTCTATGGATGAAGGTGAACCAAATCAGACGAATGGTGATGAAGCATTAGAGGCAAACGACGATGAAGCAGTAGAGGAAACTCAGTTTAGGAAAAAGTTAAGAGAAGCTGAAACTCCATTGTACTCTGATTGTATCAAATACACAAAGGTTTCAGCAATTATGGGACTTTACAGATTCAAGGTTAAGAGTGGTGTGTCAGAGAACTACTTTGATCAGCTGTTGGATTTAATAAAGGACATGCTACCTGAAGACAATGTACTTCCGAAGAGTTTAGCTGCAATCAAAAAATTTCTGAAGATATTTGGTTTCGGATACGAAAGTATTCATGCTTGCAAGAATGATTGCATTCTATATAGGAAGGAGTTTGAGAAGTTAGATAGCTGTCCAAGATGCAAAGTTTCAAGATGGGAAAAGGATAAGCACAGTAATGAGATAAAGGTTGGGATTCCAACAAAGGTCCTTAGATATTTTCCAATCAAGGACAGATTTAGGAGGATGTTTAGATCAAACAAGATGGCCGAAGATTTGCGGTGGCACTATACCAATGGCACTGAAGATGGTACAATGCGACACCCGGTTGATTCTATATCTTGGGCACAAGTGAATGCTAAATAGCCAGACTTTTCTGCTGAACCAAGGAATCTTCGCCTTGGGATTTCTACGGATGGGATGAACCCTTTCTCCATGCAAAACACCAATCACAGCACATGGCCAGTGTTGTTGGTGAACTATAACACGCCTCCGACTATGTGTATGAAGGCTGAGAATATAATGTTGACTTTGTTGATCCCTGGTCCAACAGTTCCTGGTAATAACGTAGATGTTTACTTGGCTCCACTGATAGACGATCTAAAAGATTTGTGGGCTGAGGGTATTGAAGTCTATGACTCATTTGCGAAGGAGAATTTCACACTTAGAGCCATGCTGCTTTGGAGTATCAGTGACTATCCAGACTTAGGAACATTGTCTGGATGTAAAGTGAAGGGGAAACAAGCCTGCAATGTATGTGGAAAGGATACACCTTCCAGATGGCTTAAGTGTAGCCGTAAGTTTGTCTATATGGGGAACAGAAAGAGACTGCCGCCGGGCCATCGTTACAGATATAAAAAAGCTTGGTTTGACAACACTGTTGAGGAAGGGAATGCCAAAAGGATACAAACTGGCTATGAAATATATCAGACACTACAAGCTTTTAGGAATGATTTTGGAAAACCTCTAGACAAGGAAAATAAAAGAAAAAGAGCTGGTTGGAAGATGATGAGGTGGTTCAAGAAGAAGAGTGTGAAGAATCGAATGATCTATGGCGGTGGAAGAAGAGATCAATATTCTTTGAACTACCTTACTGGAAGGTAAAGTAAAGTAATTGAACTATATTCTCTTATTGTTGGATCTGAATAAGCCTAACAGTTTCTTCTTTAATGTGTTAGCATTTGCCTGTTCGTCACAATATTGATGTTATGCATGTAGAAAAAAATGTGTCGGATGCTATATTGTCTATCTTGATGCAAAGTGCTAAGTCAAAGGATGGTTTGAAAGCAAGAAAAGAATTAGAAGATATTGGAATCAGAAATCACTTGCACACAGAGGTCAGGGGAAAGAAAACATACTTACCTCCAGCAGCCTATTGGTTATCCAAGAAAGAGAAGACCATTTTCTGCCAAAGGTTATCTAAGTTTAGAGGTCCTGATGGTTATTGTGGAAATATTGCGAATAGTGTTTCAGTTAACCCTCCAAATATAGGTAGTTTAAAGTCGCATGATCATCATGTCCTAGTCCAGAACTTGTTACCGGCTGCATTAAGAGGGTTGCTACATAAGGGTCCTAGGATTGCCATAAGTAGATTATGCAGTTACTTCAACAGGTTGTGTCAGCGCATCATCGACCCGGAGAAACTTATGACAATGGAGACAGAGTTTGTGGAAACAATGTGTCAACTGGAGCGCTTCTTCCCTCCATCCCTTTTTGATATCATGTTCCACCTTCCAATACATCTATCAAAAGAGGCACGTTTGGGAGGACCAGTCCACTTCCGCTGGATGTATCCCTTCGAAAGGTTTGATGTACTCATTTGCTTCAATATATGTATTTCCTGCAATTATGTTCAACTAATATTCATTTCTTGACTGAGTGATAGGTACATGAAAACACTTAAGGCTTTTGTTAAGAATCATGCAAGGCCAGAAGCATGTATGGCTGAGGGGTATTTAGCTGGAGAATGTGTTGCATTTTGTTTAGAGTTCCTTAAAGATTCAGTACCAGTTCAAGAAACAGTTAACCGCAATGAAGATATTGAGGCTGATAGAAGCGTGATTGAAGGTCGACCTCTGCAGAAGGGTATAGAAGTTACTCTATCAGATAAAGATAGAGACACTGCACATCGCTATGTGCTAATGAACATGGCATCTTTGGATCCTTATGTCGAGTAAGATGTTACCCTTTATGTTTCATCTACTAATTATTATTATAATTTCATTCTCAAAATTGATGTGTTAATGTAAAATCAGGAAGCATTTGGAAGAATTACAAGCTAATGATGCTGGATGTGCTAAAAATGAAACTTTGTTGTGGAAAAACCATACTGAGCAGTTTGCACAATGGCTTAAAATAAAGGTTTCCAGATGCAACTTGTCTTCTTGATTATTTGTTATACAGCTTGTTAAATAGACTGATTAGCTTGTTAGCTTCATTATAATATTTTGCTTGATGACTGGTAGCTTATCTTGTAGCTTGATTACTGGTTTTCTTGGAACAGATTGTTAGCTTATCTTGTAGCTTGATGAATGGTTTTCTTGGCACAGATTGTTAGCTTCATATATGCTCATGTTTTGCTTAATGACTGGTTAGCTTAGCTTGTAGCTTGATGACTGGTTTTCCGCAATGAATTGTTAGCTAGCTTCATGATCATGTTTTGCTTAGTGACTGGTTAGCTTAGGTTGTATCTTGATGACTGGTCATTTTAGTACTTCAGCTTGATGATGAAGTTCTGATTTTACTGTGGCAGATTCATTCAGACTCAACAAATAGTCATTTTAAAGAGATAAGGTGGTTGGCATTTGGACCAAGAAATGTTGCTGTAGCACATAAAGGATTTATCGTTAATGGGCAACGGTTTCATACAGATGCGGTTAAGCGGAAGACACAAAACAGTGGAGTAACTTATGAAGCATTTAGCATGAGTAGATCAAGTGATCGAGATATGAGACAAGTCGCTGATATACTTACATATGATGGAGTGATAAAGGAGATTTTACTTATGGACTATCACATGTTCAAAGTGCCGCTGTTTAGATGCAATTGGGCCAACACAGGGAATGGTGTGAAGGAGGAAGATGGTTTCACTCTTGTCAACCTTCATATGAACCAAACAGCCTATTTGAAAGATCCATTCATTCTACCTTCTCAAGCAAAACAGGTTTTCTACTCTAGGGAAGATGATAATTCAAATTGGTATGTTGTTATGAGAGCACCACTGTTGCGGAGTCAGGTTTTACCAAACTCCTAGACCTCTGCAAGTGCACAGATCGCGGAAGTATGGGTATCGAACACAAGGACTGGCTATTGAGTACACTTTGAAACTATGGATTTTGGATCAAGCTAAAACAAAAGTATGATTGAGGTTGTAATGGTGAACCGAACTAGCAAGTATAACGAGGTTGTAAGCAATAAAGGAAAAGCGCTAGGTCATAGGGGCTATCGCAGAGAAGCAAGCAATGATCAATGAAACAATGATAGATTAATTGATTAGGGATATTGGGATATTAAGAACCATCTAGAACACAGATCACGAATATAAAACCATTCCACTTTCGAGGCTCCGGCTCCTTTGCTAATCTACCTAGTCGCTAAACTTTTGGTATGTCCCTAGGTGATTAGATCAAGCATTAGAATGAATAGGTTCTGATACAGTTCACTAGATATAGATAGATCAACTTTCGCAGTCTAAGAAACCTAGCTTGTCAAAGAATATGTCCGGCGAATGATACAGCACTGTCGAGGCTCAAATCAACCTAAGATCGGATTACTAGATGCGCGGTAAAGCAATCAGCATTAGTTAAGTGCACAAGACGAGACAAAGACTCTAATATAATCCCTAGCTAATCATTGAAATCAAAGATCATGCAAGCAACTCATTGAATAGTAACCCTAGCAACCTAACTAGTGGATTACTCAGACATGATCAAAGCAAACACACATAGAGATGAAGAAAACATGATTGCAATAAAACTTAGAGTAGGAAATCGAAATACAAGGGCGGCTCTCTTTCTCAAGAGGCTAAAAATCCATATATATAGTGCTAGGTCTTTCTAGAGGCGGCTTAGGGTTAAGCCGGGCTTGAAAACATAAGTTTGGGCTTCAAAAAGGGCTTCGGGTCGACCGCGGCGTTGGGACGGTCGTGCGGGACGATCGGCCGGACAATCGGGTTGTGGCCGAGTCGGAACGGTCGGGGTCGGACGGATTCACGGTCGGCCGGCGTGGTCGAGCGGATAGATTTGGCCGATGAAATCTCTCGGCCGGACGCGGGACGTTCTTTCCCGGCTCGGACGGATGCGTCGGCCGGTACGCGAACGAGTTGCGCGGCCGCGAGGCTTTTCCCGGCTCGCGCGCTTTGGTCGTGCGCGGTTGGCGTGGCGTGTGGCGTGGCCGACCGCGGGCTGTTTCCCGGGTCGTGATGCGTGATCGGCCGAGTGGTTTTGGACTTTGGCCGAGACTTCAGTCGGACGGACGAGCTTTGGCCGAGCGCGGAACATGCGTTCGCTCTCGATAGAGCCGTCTGGACAGTCTTCACTCTTTTGGTATAACTCCTTTTCTACTCATCCAAATGAGCCATTCCAGTTGCGTTGGAAAGTTAACTCAATCAGAGCACGCAGGGAACTGGTCTTGATGAAATCCATTGAGTAGATCTTTTTCTGGGCCCTCTTAAAGTTGGTGCTTGTGCATGGAGCGGCTTGAAGTGCAAATCCTATGGTTTTGCTCCAAAATGCATCATTTCACCTGTTTAGACTCTAGACACTATAAACACAGTAAAACTACCTTTTTAGATAGAAAACCTGCCAAAAACCATTAGAAAACAATGCTAAAACAGTATAAAAAGTGGGTAAATTAGAGGTATATCAACTCCCCCAGACTTAGATCTTTGCTTGTCCCAAGCAAAAAGAATCTAAATCCGTGAAAGAGGTTTGAAAACGTGGAAGCTCCCTTGCTCTTTTGAATATCCTGTGAAAGGTTCCTTTCCTGTATTCCACTATGAACATAGACAACATAAGGTTAGCTTCACATACACCCTGCAAGTTTAGCGAACAATACCAACCCAACTAGTCTCATCCAGCAATCCAAACTCTCTATTGCTAACCTCTTGCATAAATTTAAAGCGTGAATTCTTTATCAAGGGGACATCGATCAATTGAACTTGTTCTTACCCACTTGATCCTCTCCAAGATTGCCTCTTTAAGTGCAATCAGAACTTTGAAAGGTCAATTTCTCCCTACTTTTCTAGGGTATCATTTTATTTTTTCTATTGACCCTTCTTTCAACCACAGGATAAGTCTTTAGCTTGTTCCTTGTTTGACTAAGGTATTCCATAAGACATGAAGGTACAGACATATGCATTCCTCATGCTTACTTGTTTTCCTTGTGCTCTTTGAGCTTTTTCTCATAAATATACTTACCATTTGGGATGGGAGAGAGAGGAGAACTCTTTAAAGATTAGACAAATCTTATTGAAAATCAAGCAAGGAACTGTCGACATGTATGCCAACCCCCTTGACAAGAGTAATTAAGATTGATTAAGGGTGAGGTTAACTCTAGATTGCTTGGTTACCTTAGAAATTTTGCTGAGCTAGCATGTCGATCCACTGTAAGAGCTTCTGTTAGGCTTGTGCCTTTAGCTGGTTTCTGCTCTAGGGTCATGGATTGTTAGCATAACACTCTCAATTCTCAAAGCAAGTTCATAACTTCCGGACTGGTTTTTGACTCAATAAAACTTTTTGAAAAACATGAAACAAAGTGAATAAAACATAAGAAAAGAAAGAAAAATGCATTAGTAACACAATAAAACTCCCCCCAGACTTAACTTGCACCGTCCCGGTGAAAGCAAATCACATTAAGGTGAGAGGTAATATTCAAAGTAAAAGAAAAATAAAGAAAAATTCATTAAAATGAGATAGGGATAGAAAATGGAGATTTGTAAGTGTCCATTGCACTAAGTACCACTTGAGATGACTATGTGTGGCAGTGAGAAGAACTCTCTTCCTCATCTATGGGGTCATCGCCTTCTGAACCAAGCTCTGAGTCTAGTGAGAACTCACCAAGGTCAGGCTCATATGGCTCTCTAGCGGTGGAAGAAGGGCGAAAGAGTCTCTCCGGTGCAATGTGGCGAACTACGCGGACTAGGCGTGAGATGAAGCGAGATTGGCACTCCACTATCTTCTCCAGCTTGTTAACACGGTCTAGAGCTGGTGCGCAGCCATGCCAGTAGTGAGAACATGGCGTTCTTGGAGGCGGCGTTGAGTCTTGACTGCATGCTGAAGTGTGCGATATGTGAGCATGGGGAATGATGGTTTCTCACTTGATGGAACATAGAAGTCTTCCTCATTGGGCTGGAAAGTGACAACTCCTGAGCGTAGGCTTGGGATGTCCTCATGTGGCAGCAAGACAAGGGAAGTGTTGGCTGGACCAATTGGAAACTCATAGCAAAACCGAGTTGGGTCTTTAGTCCAACGGTTTAGGAAGTGGATGTGCTGAAGAGCATGGAGATCCAAAGGGGTTGGCTTGGGTAGTGGCTCATAGTTGGGAATGTCAATCCCCACATGCAGTACTATGGCCGTGATAAGCCTCCCAAAACGAACACAAAGCTTCTTGTTGCCTTCCAAGTCTTTAGCTAGCTTCCTCACATTGATGAATGTCTTGGCAAGTAAAAGTCCAAGGTTGGCCTTGTACTCATGCTTGATGAATGGTGTGGTGAGGATGTAGAACTCATCAGTTGTGACCTTGTTGGCTTCTTGTTTGCATTGGAAAGTGGTGGAGATGAGGCGGTGCACATAGCGAATGGCTGGATGAGTGATTCTAGACACCTTTGACCTTGAAGGCGAGAAAGGTTCATTGGCAAAGTGTGTCCAATCAGCAAAGGCAGCTTGTTTCCTCTTTGAGTTCTCCTTGAAGTCATGTGCTGTCTCATTGGGAAGTCCAAAGAGTTGGCATAGAGCTGAGATGGATATGCGCCCATTGGCATCGCCTATCTTGAAGAGTAGGAGTCCTTCACCAGCTGGTTGGTCTCCATTGTTCTCCAACAAAGGTTACAAGTGCCCAATCATCTTCTCTCTTCTTGGACTCTCCACATGTTCTTGATGCATCAATGGAATGTGGGGAAGTTGGTATTTCTGCTCTTGCATTGGAGCTACTACTCCCTAGCTTGATTTGCTTCTTTGGTGGTTGCATGAATGGGTTCTTCTTCTTCTTCATACTCTCATTTCCTTTTGTCTTTGCCATTGTGTACCTACAAGAGCAAATTCTTGGGAAGAAATATGAGTTTGTGATTAATGCAAAAGAAGAATAAGCTAATTGAGTTGCAATAATGATATGGAATAAAGGAACAACTCAAGGCTTAATCATGAATCAAAGAGACAAAATAGAAATTTCACTTTTTCAAAATTAAATTTCGGATTTTACTGTTCATCCCAAGATTATGGTGCTTAAAATCAAAATTTTCAGCAAATCAAGAGAAATTGAGTTTCTAATCCAAGTAATCACTAGATAAACTAATGAATTGAAGTATGCCCAAGCAATTTCACCTTTGAATAAGGGGTTTGGAATGCCCAATAAGTTTTGTGAAAAACTATTCAATTGTGAAATTAAACTTCAAATTAACTCTAAACCACCTAGGTTCCACCTAGCAAAGTTCATTACAAGACTATAAGGATGCTAATTTCAAGTCTAGACAAGAGTTTAGACCAAACATGAAACTTATTGATTTTCGATCTTGCATAAACATAGGATTAGAGTTAGAAGACATACCTTGTGTGTTGAAAAGTGAATAAGGTTAGCAAGAGCAAGTAAATTCCAATTTAGAGTTATGAACAGTAAAAGTTTTGAAATCAAAACTCTTAGAGTTCCTCTAATGGAGTTTAGGGTTTTGGAGAAGAAAGAGAGGTTCTTGTGGTTTTCAAGGGAAAGGTGAAGTAAATAAGATCTAAATCCTATCAATTTTCCTTTTCAAATTCGAATTTTGATTGAAAACCGGTTTAAGTTGGTTTAGATTGGTTAAAACCGGTTTGAATTTAATGAAAAGGGGACTTACCTTGGCCTAGAAAAGTTTTGGGCCGATGGCCGATGGATTTTGTCGCGGTCGAGCGATTTGGTCGGCCAAATTGTTTTGGTCGAGAGATTTCGGCCGAGGCCGAGTTTGTTTCCCGGATCGACCGGCACGGTCGGTCCGTTCCGATACAAAATCCGGCCGATCGCGGCCTATTTCTTCCGGTTCGTGCGTGTCGCGGAACGGTTTTTGTCGCGCGATGGATAATCCGGCCGAGCACAAGCCATTCCTTCCCGGCTCGACCGTGACGGTCGGCCCGGTTGGAATTGCTCGGCCAAATTTCCTTTGCGCGTCCGCGGCCAATGGTTTGGCGCGGATTGTGTTTTCACACCTTTTTCTCCTTCTATCCTATCTTAAAACAAAGAAAACACAAAAGCAAAACAAAAACTAAGAAAATTAAAGAAAGAAAAGTAAAAGTACCTCATGGGTTGCCTCCCATGCAGCGCTTGTTTTAAGTCTTTAGCTTGACTGTAAGGCTTGGCGCTCAGGAGAAGATGGAGACAAGAGGCATCTTGATCCTCCAAGTCTTTTCTCCTTGCAATGAGTATCTGGTGGGTGATTCACAGCTGGATAGACAATCTCTCCATGAATGTCCCTTGGCACTACTGCCTTAGGAAAAAGCTTTAGAGTTCTTGTCACTTTCTCCTTGAATCCTTCTAGATTCTCATCAATAAGCTCCTTGGGAATAGAAGCTTCATGTTGCGGCCAGACCTAGGTTTTCTAACCTTCCTTCTTGGCTTGGCCTCATCTTCAATCTTGGTTGATCCCTTGGGCGGTTTTGGTGTAGGGGCCTTAGTCTTACTCCTTGCTTGTTTGGCAAGCTGCTTGGGCTTAGGAATGGGATCTTCCTTGATTGTTTCTTCAGTTTCTCCTTCTTGGGGTGGCTTCAAAGTAGCTTTCTCCTCTTGGACCATGTCAACAAAAGAGTTCTTTGTTGAACACATAGGGAAGAACATACCCTTGTTCACCTTGTTGAAAGAGATTCTTTGATTGGGGAAATCAAATATGGCACCCACAGTAGACAGGAAAGGGGTTCCAAATATGAGAGGTCTATGGCTACTCTCTCTCATTTCCACAATCTGGAAATCAGTAGGGATAGAGCAATTTCCAATCTGCACCATCACATTAGGCACAAAGCCATAGGGTGTTTGTGAGAATGAATCAGCATAGTTGATGGAGATGGATGATGGCTCTATCTTGGTGAGGCCTATCTTGTCAGCTATCCTCTTAGACATGATGTTCACATTGGCTCCTGTGTCACACAAAGATTGCTCAAGAATGTTACCTTTGATGATACAAGGCACACAAACTTTCCTGAGTTATCTGTCTTGGGGATAATCTTTGGGAAGAGTCTTCTCTTTCTAGCTCGATTGGACTCTCTCTCTGGGTAATTCTCTTCAGGCCAAATCATGCAATCAACAGTAGGTTTTGAAAGCATCCATTCTGGAACTTGGTCTTCAAATCTTTCTTCTATGGCGGCTGAGTTGCAAAAGGACTTCTTGGATTCAGCTTCCTGTCTCTTAACAGCTTCCATAGTTTGAGTGACTTGAGTCTCTAGTTTCTTCACATGAGTGGCAACAGCATCATACTTGGTGTTGAGATTGCTGAACAAAGTGTCCATCTTCTCATACATCTCTTTAGTGTTTCTCTTCTGGCCATCCATGATCTGTTGGAGGATTCCTTCAAATCTCCCACCTTGTTGGTTTGGAGGAGCTTGATTTGGTGAAGAAGCATATGGCTCCTTGGGCGGATATGATGATCTCTGCTCATATCCTTGCCTTGGCTGAAATTGACTTCCTTGAGATTGGTAAGGAGGTCTTTGTTGTTGTGGATACCTTGGAGGATACACTTGGTCTTGAGGATTCTCCACATTGGGGTTTCTATAAGACATGTTGGGGATTTGGGCGATAGCTTGGATTGTATCCCTTGTTCCCATAGTTTCCAATGTAGTTCACATCTTCTTCATTGGCTTCATTAGAGAAATCTCCCATGCATTCTCTTGATGAATCTTCATTAGCATCACTCATCCCTTCTATTGCATTGATATGCTTGAGCTGTCCCTTAAGAACTTGAGCCATCATGTTCTTGAGTTCAGTCATTTGAAAAGAATCAGGGGAGCTAGTAGTGGTGCGGCTTGAGCGGTCATAATCAGGACAGTTGTTACAATCACTAGCTGCAAGATTCTCAATAAGAACCTTAGCTTCATCAACAGTCTTGGTCATGAAGTTTCCATTGCTTGCAGTGTCCAATGAAAGCTTGTACTTGTGGTCTATGCCACGATAGAAGATGTTCCATAGGTTTCCCTCATTGAAACCATGATTAGGGCAGTCCCTAATGTACTCCTTGAATCGATCTAGCGCCTCATAGAAAGATTCATTGTTGCTTGGCGAAAGTGGAGATCTTGTTTCTCACAGAAATTGATCTCTGTTTGGTGTAGAAGTGGTTGATGAATGCAGCCTTGTACTCATCCCAAGTGGTGATGGAGTGAGCTGGCAGAGACTTCAACCATCTTGAAGCTTTGTCGCCAAGAGAGAATGAAAAGAGCTTGCACTTAAGGTAGTCAGCAGAGACTCCATTGGATCTTGTAGTGCTGCAAATTTCTTCAAAGTTTTCTATGTGATCAAGAGGGTGCTCAGCTGGAAGTCCATTGAATTGGTTCTGTCTAACCAATGCTATGATCTGAGGCTTGATCTCATAGTCATTCCTTGCAGGGGTGGTGGATGGATAGGGTTTCTATCCATGAAGAAAGCATCGGCAGAGTCATAGTCTCCGATTGTAGGTGCTCCAGCTTGGGTTGTGCGTTCACATCTCCAGCAGGGTCTTGTGGATTAGGAGGAGGAGGAGGTGGATCTCTTCCTTCTTCTTGAGCGCGCGCCACTTCAGCGGCGTGAGCGCGAGCTGCTTCGTCGGCCATCTCTTGGGCTTTCTGCTTCCTAAGTTGCTTCTCAAGCTTGTCTATCTCTGGATGTTCAACTAGGTTGTCCTTGTTGGACCTCCTAGTCATGCACCTGAAAAGAGTCTTGGAAACAAGTTAAATCAAAAGGGAAAAACAAAAACAAAAGTAAAAATCAAAGAAAAGGAAATCAAAAACTGAAAATTCAAAAGCAAAAGAAAAGTAAAACAGGAAAAGGTTCTAGACTAGATCCTAGTCGAGTTCCAAAGGTACTGCTGCAGTCCCCGGCAACGGCGCCAAAAACTTGATGCGGAGTCAGGTTTTACCAAACTCCTAGACCTCTGCAAGTGCACAGATCGCGGAAGTATGGGTATCGAACACAAGGACTGGCTATTGAGTACACTTTGTAACTATGGATTTTGGATCAAGCTAAAACAAAAGTATGATTGAGGTTGTAATGGTGAACCGAACTAGCAAGTATAACGAGGTTGTAAAGCAATAAAGGAAAAGCGCTAGGTCATAGGGGCTATCGCAGAGAAGCAAGCAATGATCAATGAAACAATGATAGATTAATTGATTAGGGATATTGGGATATTAAGAACCATCTAGAACACAGATCACGAATATAAAACCATTCCACTTTCGAGGCTCCGGCTCCTTTGCTAATCTACCTAGTCGCTAAACTTTTGGTATGTCCCTAGGTGATTAGATCAAGCATTAGAATGAATAGGTTCTGATACAGTTCACTAGATATAGATAGATCAACTTTCGCAGTCTAAGAAACCTAGCTTGTCAAAGAATATGTCCGGCGAATGATACAGCACTGTCGAGGCTCAAATCAACCTAAGATCGGATTACTAGATGCGCGGTAAAGCAATCAGCATTAGTTAAGTGCACAAGACGAGACAAAGACTCTAATATAATCCCTAGCTAATCATTGAAATCAAAGATCATGCAAGCAACTCATTGAATAGTAACCCTAGCAACCTAACTAGTGGATTACTCAGACATGATCAAAGCAAACACACATAGAGATGAAGAAAACATGATTGCAATAAAACTTAGAGTAGGAAATCGAAATACAAGGGCGGCTCTCTTTCTCAAGAGGCTAAAAATCCATATATATAGTGCTAGGTCTTTCTAGAGGCGGCTTAGGGTTAAGCCGGGCTTGAAAACATAAGTTTGGGCTTCAAAAAGGGCTTCGGGTCGACCGCGGCGTTGGGACGGTCGTGCGGGACGATCGGCCGGACAATCGGGTTGTGGCCGAGTCGGAACGGTCGGGGTCGGACGGATTCACGGTCGGTCGGCGTGGTCGAGCGGATAGATTTGGCCGATGAAATCTCTCGGCCGGACGCGGGCGTTCTTTCCCGGGTCGGACGGAGCGTTCGTGCGCGGTACGGAAGGAGTTGCGCGGCCGCGAGGCTTACTTCCCGGCTCGCGCGCTTTGGTCGTGCGCGGTTGAGCGTGGCCGACCGCGTCGTCGATGCGTGATCGGCCGAGTGGTTTGGACTTTGGCCGAGACTTCAGTCGGACGGACGAGTTTGGCCGAGCGCGGAACATTCGTTCCTCGGCCAGCCGGACTGCGCGGTTGGGCGCTGATTCTCGATAGAGCCGTCTGGACAGTCTTCACTCTTTTGGTATAACTCCTTTTCTACTCATCCAAATGAGGCCATTCCAGTTGCGTTGGAAAGTTAACTCAATCAGAGCACGCAGGGAACTGGTCTTGATGAAATCCATTGAGTAGATCTTTTTCTGGGCCCTCTTAAAGTTGGTGCTTGTGCATGGAGCGGCTTGAAGTGCAAATCCTATGGTTTTGCTCCAAAATGCATCATTTCACCTGTTTAGACTCTAGACACTATAAACACAGTAAAACTACCTTTTTAGATAGAAAACCTGCCAAAAACCATTAGAAAACAATGCTAAAACAGTATAAAAAGTGGGTAAATTAGAGGTATATCAACCACCTAGAGGCTATCATGAGTTGGAAACAGAAGAGAATTTAAGTGGTGCACCTTTGCCTATCCAAGAACTTGATGATTTGGATGATGAAGCTTGTGATGATGATAGTGTTTATGTTAGGGATGATTGTGAAGGCTTGTTAGTGGTAGATTGATAGGTGTTTGTGGTTTTTGTAAACAATAAAATTTGTTATGGTTTTCGAAACATTTAAATATTTATATATTTTGTATTAATTTAAATTTAAAAACAAAATAATAACACGAAACATTTGCTATCTTTGCTATCCGTAAATTCAAATTAATGAGTTTTAATAACATTTGGATCATGTTATTATAAATATTAACAATTGCACAGCAGACAAAGCTATCGTTGTATAGTTATCTATAGCACACCAAAAATCCGCTATTAAAAGTGTCTGACCTATTATAACGGGCGATGTCAGAGCATTTTAGGAAACGCTATATTTTTGAACTCATAGCATTTAACGGCCGCTATTAATACCCACATTTCCTGTAGTGATTCAAAGTAAAGGAAATTAAAAGAAAGAAAATGAAAAGAAATGACCTTCAATGGGTTGCCTCCCATTCAGCGCTTTGTTTAAAGTCATTAGCTTGACTGTATGGCACTTCCTTAAGGATCTGGTGGATCGCCAAGAGCCAGTGTGGTCTCCTGTGGTATGGTGGTGGAAGCTAGGTAGGGTTTTAACCTTTGTCCATTGACTGTAAAGTCTCCTCCCATTGGGTCCCATAGTACCACTGCTCCATAGGGGCGAACTTCTTTAATCCTGAATGGTCCTGACCATCTTGAGCGAAGCTTTCCTGGAAAGAGTTTCAACCTTGAGTTGAATAGTAGAACTTGGTCGTTTGGCGCGAAGTTCTTTGGGATGATCTTGCGGTCATGGAAAGCTTTGGTTCTCTCCTTATAGATCTTTGAATTCTCATAAGCCAGATGCCTAATCTCATCAAGCTCATTAGCTGAATCAATCTTCTTTCTCCTGCTGTCTTTAGGTTGAAGTTCAACTCCTTAATAGCCCAAGCTGCTTTGTACTCCAGCTCCACAGGTAAATGACATGCTTTACCATAAACAAGATGAAAGGGGGTGGTACCAAGTGGTGTTTTGAAGGCAGTGCGGTATGCCCATAGAGCATCATCTAGTTTGGCACTCCAATCCTTTCTTGTCTTGCCTGTTGTCTTCTGAAGTATGCTCTTGAGTTCTCTGTTTGAGATCTCAACTTGTCCACTAGTTTGAGGGTGGTAAGGAGAGGCAACTTTGTGAGTGACTCCATGCTTCTTCAAAAGGTTGGCAAAGATTCTGTTGATGAAATGTGAACCTCCATCACTTATGACTATCCTAGGCACTCCAAACCTTGGAAAAATGATGGATTTAAACATCTTGATGACCACTTGTGCGTCATTAGTAGGGCTGGCGATGGCTTCCACCCATTTGGAGACATAATCAACTGCCACTAGAATGTATTGGTCACCAAAAGAGGTTGGGAAGGGTCCCATAAAGTCAATGCCCCAAACATCAAAAACTTCAACTTCTAGTATAAAGTTCTGTGGCATCTCATTCCTCTTGCTTATATTTCCCATTCTTTGGCAAGCATCACATCTTGATATGAATGCATGAGCATCCTTAAACATAGTTGGCCACCAAAATCCAGCTTGTAGGACCTTGGATACTGTCTTGTAAGTGGCAAAGTGCCTGCATAGCTAGAACTATGACAAGCAAACAATATTCCTTCTACCTCTTCCTCAGGTATGCATCTTCTAAACATTCCATCTGAACATTTCTTGTATAAGTAAGGTTCATCCCAGTAGTACCTTCTTACATCACGCAGAAATTCTTCTTTCTGTAGCCAAAGAAGTTTGGTGGTGGGTATTCAGCTGCAAGGAAGTTTGCTATGTGGCGAAACCATGGTGTGTTTGATGATGAGATCTTTGTTCCTGGCCTGTGATGGCTTAGTTGTCCATGCTTATTGCTAGCTTCAGCTGCATAAACTGTTTCTTCAGGTAGCCTATCATCAAGGGTAGATTTTCTTCAACTCTCATCCTTGAAAGGTGATCAGCTACTCCATTATCTGCTCCTCTTCTATCCTTGATCTCAAGATCAAATTCTTGCAATAGTAGTATCCATCTCAACAATCTTGGCTTGGCATCTTTCTTAGATAAGAGATACCTTAATGCTGCATGATCAGAATGAACTATAACTTTGATCCCACCAAGTATGATCGAAATTTCTCAAATGCAAAGACAATAGCAAGAAGCTCCTTTTCTGTTGTGGCATACTTGCATTGTGCCTCATCAAGTGTTCTGCTGGCATAATAGATCACATGTAGCTTCTTGTCTTTTCTTTGTCCAAGCACTGCTCCTACTGCATAATCACTTGCATCACACATTATCTCAAAAGGTAGTTCCCAGTTTGGAGGTTGAACCACTGGCGCACTGACCAATGCATCTTTGATCTTAGTGAAAGCCTTGTGACACTCCTCTGTGAACTCAAAGTTAATATCCTTGCATAATAGGCGTGTTAGCGGCCTTGCTATCTGTGAGAAATCTTTAATGAACCTCCTGTAGAATCCAGCATGTCCTAGGAAGCTTCTGATATCTTTGACTGTCTTGGGCGGCTGAAGGTTTGTCATTACTTCAATCTTGGCCTTGTCAACTTCTATGCCTCTCTCTGAGATTCTATGTCCAAGCACTATTCCATCTCTAACCATAAAGTGGCACTTCTCCCAATTTAGAACTAGGTGCTTGTCTTCACATCTCTGTAGCACTCTTCCAAGATTTCCCCAAACATGATTCAAAGGAAGAACCATATACTGAGAAATCATCCATGAAAACCTCCATAATCTCTTCTATGAGATCTGTGAATATGGACATCATACACCTTTGGAATGTAGCTGGAGCATTGCACAATCCAAAAGGCATTCTCCTATAAGCATATGTGCCATAGGGACAAGTGAATGTAGTCTTCTCCTGATCATCTGGGTGGATTGGAATTTGGAAAAATCCTGAGTATCCATCCAAGAAACAGTAGTATTGATGATTGGCAAGGCGCTCAAGCATCTGGTCTATGAATGGCAAGGGGTAGTGGTCCTTGCGCGTGGAGGAGTTCAGTTTCCTGTAGTCGACACACATTCTGTGTCCAGTGATTGTCCTTGTTGGAATGAGCTCATCATGTTCATTCTTGATGACTGTGATCCCTCCTTTCTTTGGCACGACATGTACAGGGCTGACCCATGCACTATCTGATATTGGATAATCACTCCAGCCTTTCAATAGCTTCATTATCTCCTTCTTGACAACTTCCTTTAGGTTTGGGTTTAGCCTCCTTTGATGTTCAATTGAAGAACTAGACTCATCCTCCAGGATGATGCGATGTGTGCATAGTTCAGGTGAGATTCCTGTTAAATCATCCAAAGAGTAACCAAGAGCCTTTCTATGCTTTCTCAGTTCGCGAACAAGTAAAGCGGTCTCTTCTTTTGTTAGTGCAGCATTAACAATAACAGGATATGTTTCATTAGGACCAAGATATTCATACCTTAGACCAACTGGGAGTTGTTTGAGCTCGGCTTTTGGAGCTCTAAGTGGGCACCATGGGTCGAACTTAACTTTGGTTTGTGATATTTCCTGATCCTTGTCAATGTCTGGCTCTTCCTCTTCTCTCTCTAAGTCCATATAAGCTATAGCTCTTTATAAGCTTCCTTGAATCCATGAACTTGACTAAGCATTGAGCTTCTCTTTCCATGTATCCATACTCATTCTCAGCCTTTGTCAAAGCTAGCTCCAAGGGATCAATAAGAAGGAGTTCATCCAGCACTTCTTCTCTTGTCTCTGCGAGCTCTCCAATCCAAAAAGCTTGACCATCTACAGTTGGTTTCTCCATAGACTTGTTTACCTCGAAATTCATCACTATATCTCCAAGATGCAAGTCAATCTTTCCATTCTTGACATCTATTATAGCTCCTGCAGTAGCTAGGAATGGCCTTCCCAAGATAAGAGGGTCCTTAGGTTGATGTACTTGCATTTTGCATAGTTTTAGTACATCTTTTATGCATCTTTTGCATAGTTTTAGCATCCATTAGCATCATATCTTGTTCCTTTTCTCTTCTTATGCATTCATAGTAGTTTTAGGTTGCATTTGCATACATATGCATGTTTGGTCCTTTGAAATAGGTCTTTTGGAGCATTTGGAGCATATGGGACGTGAGGAGCATGGAAGGACTTGGTGCATGGACGCAGCTCAACTGGATACGCAAAGGAAGAAGGAGGAAGCCATCTTGAAGACCAGCTCGACCATCCGGTCGAGTTCCTCAACTCGACCGGCCAAGCTTCAACTCGATCGAGCTGAGAAGTCAACAGTCAAACCCGAAAAATGTTGCTTCCCCCTTGACTTTCCTTTGACCCTAAACCTAAATCCTCTTGTATTTAAGGCTAAAAGCCACGAAAAAACCACCAAGCTTTAGATTACTTTTGTTTTAGTTTCTTTTAATTATTGTCTTTTACTTTTTAGAGCTCTAATCCCATCTTTGTGTTCTTGAAGCTCTTGCTTCTTGAATCCTAGATCCTGGATAATCTCTTTTGTATTTGCACTTGCTTATTTCAATAAAAGTTGTTTATCTTTATCTCCTCTTTCTTTGATGTTCTTTTATTGCATTTGCTTGTGTTTACATTCATGTGTAGTGAGTAGTTACCCATTAGGGTTTGAGATGGGATAGATTAGGGGATTTTATGCTTAATCCTTCTTGCTTATGTTCTTAATCTAGAAATCTCTCTCTTTTGGACAAACCTTAAGGCTACATGACCACTACCCCTGGCTTGTATGTCCATTAGGCGATTCTCCACATGGAAGTGATGGAAATCGTTGGAAAAGGTCCACTAAGAGCTCCAATAACTCTTGCTCTCGAAATGGAGTTCATAGGGGTTGGATGGATTAGTTTGAGCAATGATCCTATGGCCTCCAAGGCTTGATTCTCACTGGCTAACCCCCTGTTTCTGAGATCAAGTCTTGGTTGATAGCTTTCACCTTGGGAAAGGGTTAGCTAGGCATTGAGAAGCTCAATATCAAGAGATACCTTGATACAAGTGTTTGAGAGCAAGATTGATTAAGTATAGCTTCCTCTGATTGTTAAACCCTGTCTTAGACCCTAATTCTCGCATTAGCTTGTTAAAGTCGCTGCCTTTATTGCTTTTTACTTCAACTCGACCCTAAACTCGATCGAGCTCGGTACTCTGTTCCCACTCGACTCGAGTCCTTGGTCGAGCTGTTGCTCTACTGCTTACTTCATTACTGTTTCATTTAGGTTGTTAGTGTTACCCCATATCATTTACTGCTTGCTTGACTTCCTTGTATTTCATATTCTCATAGAGTGACAACTTCCCCATTTTGGATTGATACCCTTTATGCTATAACAACTATAATGGTTAAAGGGAATTGTTGACTGTGTTTGTGTTTGCATCTTACCACCTCATCATATACCACTGTTGCATTCCACCACATCTCATTTCATATCTTTCACACCCACACACAAATCCTATCATCAATTTGGCGCCGTTGCCGATTTGGGTTGTTGCATTTGAGTTTACACTTGGACGATCAAGCTATACCACCCCTGTTCTATTGTACTGCTGGGTTTTTGTCTCTTTTTGCAGGTGTATGCGAACTCGATCGAGTCGGTCTACAGAAGACTTGGTCGAGCTAGACTTACAACGGGTAGAAAGAGGGTTCAGAGGTCACAGAGGGTACAAGAGGAACCTGAGGTGCTTGTTGCTGATACAATGGAGTACCAGAGGGGAATGGAAACCCTTTGGGAATGGACTCGGTCGAGCTAGGACCGATTGGTCAAGGAGATGCTCCAAACCGCCACCAACAGAGACAAGGGATTGTTCCACCACCAGTGCAGAACCACAACTTTGAGATCAAGCTGGGAATGATCAACCTTGTTCAGAACAAGATGTTCCATGGATTGCCAAGTGAAGACCCCATTGACCACCTTGATGAGTTTGATAGGCTTTGTGATTTGACAAAGATCAATGGTGTCTCTGAAGATGCCATCAAGCTGAGACTCTTTCCTATGTCTCTAGCTGACAAAGCTCACCAATGGGAGAAGAGCTTGCCCCATGGCACAATCACCACTTGGGATGAATGCAAGAAGGCCTTTCTTGCTAAGTTTTTCTCCACCGGTCGCACAGCCAAGCTTAGGGAGAGATATCCAGCTTCATCCAGCGAACAATGAGACATTCGCAGAGGCTTGGGAGAGGTTCAAAGGCTACACAAGTCAGTGCCCACACCATGGATTCAACAATGAATCCTACTCTCCACTCTTTATAGAGGATGCTTGCAAGGTATAGGGAGATGCTAGACACAGCTAGCAATGGGAACTTCCTCAACCAGGATGTAGATGATGGCTGGCAGCTTGTGGAGAACATGGCCATATCAATGGAAGTGCTATGGAGAATGAGTAGTACAGACTGGAGCTCGACCGCCACTCGATCGAGCTGGAAGCACAGATGAGAAAAGACATGCTTGCACTCAACTCGAAGTTGGACAAACTGATCCTAGCCCAATCTAAGCATGTCAATTATGGCAAAAGTCAAGGATCAGGAAGGGGAGGAGACAACACATGAGGTTTGCTATATTCAAAATAGACAAGGAAGCTATAGGAATCCTCAACAAGGGACATACAACAGTTATCCAGCCCCCTTGCCGCACCAACAACTAAGTGTTCCACAAGGCTTCACCCAAAGGACTACTCATACCCAACCAATCAAGATTGGGATATGAAGGAAATGCTCCAACAACTCTTACAAGGGCAAGCCAAAGGTTCTCTGGAAATGAACAACAAGTGGTTGAGATAAACTCCAAACTTGAGTCATTGACTTCAAGAGTCCAAATCATTGAGTCTTCAAGTGCATCATCCTCTTCACCTCAAGAGTATGCCCAAGCAGTTACACTAAGAAGTGGGGGCAATTTCCAAGCAGAGGTAGCCCACCCCAAATCGCTGTGGACATCGATGACGAGGAAGGGGAGGATTTGGTCGAGTATGCTGATATCCCAGCACCGAACTCGATCGAGCTGGAACAAAACCCTGAACCAGAGCTCGATCGAGCTGAGAAACCGAGACTCAGCAAGACAAACCAGAGCTCGATCGAGCGAGAAGCGAACGGACAAAGCAAGCTCCAGCCAACCAACTAAACCTGTTGGAAAGAAGAAAGACACTCCATCAGGACCACCACCATACAAACCCCTCTACCCTTTCCAGGAAGGTTCAAGAAACAACTGTTGGAAGCACACAAGGCCAAGTTTGATGAACTAATGAGAACTTGAGCTGAAGTTGCCTTTCATCGATGCCTTGATGCTCATTCCACCTTATCAGAAATTCCTGAAGGATGCTGTTCAGCAAAGAACCAGGGAGGCGCAAGGAATGGTAGTGTTGACTCGTGAGTGCAGTGCAATCATTCAGCGGAAGGTCATCTCCGACAAAAAGGAAGATCCGGGGAGTTTCACTTTGCCTTGCATGTTGGGACCTCTATCTTTCAAAAACAGCCTCTGCGACCTAGGATCATCAGTCAGCCTCATGCCTTTGTCCGTAGCAAAGAGACTGGGATATCACAAGTATCAAGCCTGCGGAATCTCACTGGTTTTGGCAGATAGATCGATAAGGTTACCAACTGGAATGCTTGAAGACCTGCCTTTGAGAATAGGGAATGTAGAAATCCCCACCGACTTCATTGTGCTTGAGATGGATGAGGAACCAACAGATCCATTGATACTAGGAAGGCCATTCCTAGCTACAGCAAGAGCAATGATAGATGTCTGTGAAGGCACAATTGAGCTAAACTTGGGAAAGGACCTAAGGATGAAGTTTGACATCAAGATACAATGAGGAAGCCAATAGAAGGTCACTCTTTTATGTTAGAATGGATCAGTTGGCAGATGAGCTTTTAGAAGAGCTATCATTGGAGGACCCCCTACAAGTTGCTTTGACCAAGGATTCTTCAGAAGGATATGTGAGCTCAGAAACCGAGGAATACTCGAAGCTCCTTGACACCTTCAGACCAGTTCCAAGCATTCTGAGCATTGAGGGGTTAGACAGGCCAATTTGCGAAGTCATGGCAGTGAGCTCGATCAAGAGCGATCGAGCCTCGAACAAACGAACTCGATCGAGCTGGGGACTGAATGCAAGGAG